AACTGTCCTCAAACTTTGGCAAATACATTGGATGGGAGGTAACTGGCCCTTGTTGGCACTAATACGGTCCCTCATCTTCTCTAGCAGCCTCAGACTCTGGTCCTCATCCCTCACTGACCACCTCTTGTCAGTGTGGTATTCAGGCACTCTTCACTCTGCCCTCCTGCCTCCTATTTTCCTCTGATTCATTCCTGCCTCTGTCCTTACTTAGCTAGTGATCAGGCTGGCATTGGAAGAATCATGACAGGAACATCACAGTGCATGCTCCTGAACATATGTGTGCCTACTAATTCATACAGTGTTATGGGGGTGGAGAAGAATAATCAAAGCTAGCTAGTACCACAAGTTTTGCAGAGCAAATACTTTACTAATTTTGTCTCATTTTATCCTTATAACAACCCTGAGAGGGAGGTGCTATTATTGTCCCCATTGCACAGATGAGGAAACTGAGGTTAAGAAGTTAAAGTGACTTGCCCAAGGTCACACAACTAGTGTCTGAGGCAAGATTTGAACTCAGATCTTTCTGACTCGAGATACAGTGCACCAGCTGTCTAGGTGGGTCACAGAGCTGGAAAGGGATTCAGGAGGTCAACTGACCCAAACCCCTCATTTTACCAAAAAGGAAACTGAGGCCCAGAGAGGATTTACCCAGAGGAGTAAAAGGCAGAATGGGGGTTCAAACAGGTCCTCTGACTTCAGAGTGTTATTTCAACCACCCACTGCTTCTTGGACCTTGGACTCTACTTCTCTGTTTTTGCCAAGCTCCTAGAAGCATGCATCAAGGGGGATCAGGAGAATATACCATTTCCCTCACTTTGAGCATCAAAGGCCAGAATTTCAGGGTCCAATAGATTTTAGTAAGGGTGTCCTTCCAGGGCCTCCCCAGTTGTCCCTTAATTTTTGGAATCCTCAACCCTCATAAGCCCTGAACTGGAGTCAGAGGACCTGGGTTCAAATCCAGCTCTGCCATTCATTACCTGTATGTTCTTGAGGGGTCAAACTCTGAGGCTTCTTTCAACTCTAGATCTAGGCTTCTATGAAATCTTCCCGGTTTGGGGTTCAAACATCTGTCACATGTTTTTGGTTTTGATTTTGGTGGGAATGAGGGCAGTCACTGATGGTTCAGGTACAGTACCACCTTGTCGGCAAGTCACTGCATTGCCTTGCTGGATATTTAATACAGTTACATGTTGTCATTCTATAAGCTTGTGGAAGGCAGCACTCAAAGCACAATGAGAGCTGGATTCAGATCCTATCTCCTTCACTGTCATGTAACCTTAATTAAGTTCTGTTACTTGCCAGAAATTGCATTATCTTTTAAATCCATCTTTTAAATCTTTTATTCCTCATCTTTCTTGGATTCTCTTTGGCTTTTGAATTTGTCCCCCCTCTCATGCTGGACATTCCTATCTCCCTGAGTTTTCATGTCATATGTTTTCTCACCAAAGAAGCTGTTCTGCCCTCATCCCCTTCCCAGGATCAGGAGAATGCCATCAGGAATGTGACATCAGAATTGTCCAAGATAGACAGGAGCATACAGAACATCCATCTCATTGTACAGAGAAGTAAACTGAGGCCTACATAGAGGAAGGGACTGGCACAAGGTCCTGTGGTTTCAGAGCTGGGGATTCATTTCAGGTCCTTAATTATTTGATCCTTTCCTTTCTAGGTACCATATTTTAAATAAGACATTAACCAGGATGAGCCTGGGGACAATGCCAATAGAAGACCCCAAAGGCCTTCTACAGAGAAGCAGATTTAGGCTCAGTAGTATGGGGAGGTGGTGGGGTGGGGAGGTAAGGTATCGTGGTGCATTGGATAAAACCTTGGTGTCAAAGACCTGTATTCAAGTCTACCTATGTATGACACACTTGGATTGTTAACCACTTCTACCAGAACACTATTTCCTCCTCAGGCTAACTTCCTTTTTGCCCTTTCTTTCCCTCCCTTCCTCTAGTAATAGAAGGATGAATGAATTATAATCAAATCAGTTTTACCACTGTCCCTGGATGGGGTGTGTCAGCCTACTTCCCTTTGGCCCCACGCACCATCCCTGGAATCTTTAAGTGCAAAATGCTCCTCTGTGGCCACTGTGTCTACTTTCCCATTAGAATGTGAGCTCTTTGAAGTAAAGGACTGCCTTTGTTTTTATATTTATACCCAAGTGCTTGGCACATAGCAATTACCTAATACAAACTTTTTCATGCTTTCATTTATGTCGGCTCTGTGACCAAGAGTCAGTCACTTAATTTCTCAGTGACTCTAAGACAACTCTATTGCAAAGCAAGTGCTGATCTTTTATGAGTAGAGGAAGTATCTGTCCTCACGGGTAGTTCCCTACACCAATCAATCAAAGGTCAGCTCCTCACTGATCATACCCTTTCAGTGCAGGACATGAACCCCAAGCTCCCTCCACCCTTCTCATCCTTCTTGGTCCTCTCCAGAGACCCCCGCCTCAACCTCTAACACCTCACTGACCCAGTGCTAGGCTGTCCTCTCCAATACACCAGTTTCATCCTTTCCTACTCTGATTCCAGTTCCCAACCCCAACCACTCTGTGATACAGTTGCCTGACTGCCACCATTCCCCTCAGGCATCCGGGTATTTGAGGTCTTCTGCAAACCCAGGCATTAAATAATGTCTTTCAGGGGCCTTCAGGTGTTCTTTCCCTTAACTCCTTCACACGCCCTTCCCTCTGCAGAATGAATCAGAAAGACCAGGAAAAGTCATAAAATCAACTTTATTCGAATTGGAACCACCCCCCTTCCACCTCTTCCCCAAATTTCCCAAACCATCACCAGACCACAGTATTCAGGCCTGGAGCCCCTGAGACATTAGGGGAAATGCTTTTCATGGGAAGAATCCTTGCAACATGCTGAAGGAAGAAAGGACAGGGGTCAGTCCTGGGGCCTCTGGCTGAGAGCAGAGGCAGTCCCCCTCCCACCCTCCTCCCCCACCCCTTTCCAGTCCGTCTCCCTTTTGGCTCACTGCTTTTCTCCTGCTCTCTCTTAAGGCAATGGGAAATTTGGGCAAACAGCCCCACATGTCGACAGTAACAGCACAAGGCATCTACTCCTATAGCCAGAAGAAGTAGAAAGACCAAGGCAAGGCCTGAAACGGCCCCAGGACCCAGCACTGTAGAAGGTGATTCTGTGGGGAGGGTATAGAGAGAAAAAGGGGAAAAAATGCGTCACTGGGTTTTTGGGAAAAGGGAGAAGAGAAGTCATTTGCCCTAGACCTCCTGTTCTCACCCCTTTAAGGACCCTGGTATCCTAGATCCCCATACCCTCAACAATTTCGGGTTCTACCCTACCCCCAGTCAAAGGCATCTGGGCCTTCAGCTCCAATGCTTTCAGACACCCGGGCTTCTAGGCTCCCAGTCACACCAAAACTCAGTCCTTGAAGGTCCTGGTACTGATGTCAAAAGGCAACAAGGATTGAGGAATTTGGACACCCAGCTCCAAATCAACCCCATCAGAAACTCAGGTTCCCAGCTCCCCATCCCGCTGCCTTAAGGATTCAGAGAAGTCAAGAGAGGAAGGGAAAGAGACTTAGGGGCTCGGATCCCCAGCCTCGGGCTCACCTTCTTCCAGCACCTGGATCTCCAGCTCCAAGGTGCCAAAGGGATTGGAGGCCAGGAGCTTCATTGGGATGAAATCTGCCTTCTCCTTAGGGATGAACTGAAACAACAGGACAGAATGGTAGGGGAGCTCCCTTGTCTGAGCCCTTGGACCTGGTCCCCAGATCCCACCAGCTTGGGGACGCAGATCCCTTTAGAGAACGAGAAATTGGGCTCTTCCTCCCTGCCCCGCCCCAGACCAGGGTGTCCAGTACCCTCACCTGGTAGGTGCGTATGTGTGGCGCCCCTTGGCGAACTTCTCGCAGAAGGCTGCCCCTCCAAGAGAGGCTGAGCTCCGGGGGCGGGTCCCCGTGCACCAATACTGTCAGTGTGGTTAGACGACCCCTGCGCGTCCACACCGCGCCCGCATTGGGTCCCTCCAGCCGGGGACGGGCTGTGAGGTGGAACGGAAAGGAGGATGTGAGAGAATGGCCTGGCCCCCAAAAGGTGGAGGAAAAAAAGGCAAAGAAACAGAGATGTCTCTCTCTCCCTCGCCCCCACCCCGCCCTGCGCTTACAAGTCGCTCTCAGCGTCACGTTCTCCCGCGCGCTCTCCACGCGGCTCGGCTATGGACGCCTCGCAAGTGTAAACCCCAGCATCCGAAGGCTCCAGATCCCGGATGGTCAGAGTTCCACCCTTCACTGACACTCGACCTAAGGAAGTAGCAGAGATTCAGAAGCCTCGTCGATGGGCTCGGCCGAGAAGGAGGACCCTCCAAGAGCCACCTCCTCCCCATCAGGTCCCAGCCAGCGAAGGCGAGCCTCGACTTCCCCGCCAGACACTGCAAATAACACACCTGGCCCATCAGAAGAATGAAGTGGATCTAGGATACCAGGGTCCTTAAAGGGGTGAGAACAGGAGGTCTAGGGCAAATGACTTCTCTTCTCCCTTTTCCCGAAAACCCAGTGGTGCATTTTTTCCCCTTTTTCTCTCTATACCCTCCCCACAGAGTCACCTTCTACAGTGCTGGGTCCTGGGGCCGTTTCAGGCCTTGCCTTGGTCTTTCTACTTCTTCTGGCTATAGGAGCAGATGCCTTGTGCTGTTACTGTCGACATGTGGGGCTGTTTGCCCAGATTTCCCATTGCCTTAAGAGAGAGCAGGAGAAAAGCAGTGAGCCAAAAGGGAGACGGACTGGAAAGGGGTGGGGGAGGAGGGTGGGAGGGGGACTGCCTCTGCTCTCAGCCAGAGGCCCCAGGACTGACCCCTGTCCTTTCTTCCTTCAGCATGTTGCAAGGATTCTTCCCATGAAAAGCATTTCCCCTAATGTCTCAGGGGCTCCAGGCCTGAATACCGTGGTCTGGTGATGGTTTGGGAAACTTGGGGAAGAGGTGGAAGGGGGTGGTTCCAATTCGAATAAAGTTGATTTTATGACTTTGGTCTTTCTGATTCATTCTGCAGAGTGAAGGGCGTGTGAAGGAGTTAAGGGAAAGAACACCTGATTGTCTTCAGACACCTGCTCCCTCCAGTCTGTGGGCCCTCTCCCGGTCAGGGAACCAGGCATCCGGGTCCCTGGCCCCTTACTCACCCTTATCTCCCAGGACCAAGCCCTGATGCTCCCAGGTAATGTTGGGCTGGGAGATCCCTGTGACCTTGCATTGCAGCTCCGTGACGGACCCCTCCTCCGCAACGGTGGGGCTGAGATTAAGGCTGAGGATATGGGGCCTCTCTGAGGGGCAAGTAAGGAAAAGGGGGAGCTGTGTTGGTCTTTTCTACAGGAATCTCTCCTTTCTTCATCTTCTGCCCCACCCAGTTCTACATCTCTTGTTCCACCCATGTTTCACAATCTCTAGGGTTTCTCATCTCCCCCTCCCACCGCCCCATGTTCCATAGCAGAACCTGACCTCTCTTATCTTCCCCATTTCCCAACTCCCCGAATCAGGAGTGTCCTATGCCTTTTCCATTTTCCTGGTGTCCCCAGTGGTGTCCCAAGTCCTAACGCACAATCCCTTCGTGCTCCATCTCCCGAGTCTCCACGCTCCCCCCCCCCCATTTTCCCTCCACACACAGACGCACCGATGGCCCGGATCTCGAGGATCTCCTCCTCCTCAGTATCTCCAGGCTCTGCCACGCACTTTAGGAGCCCACCTTGACCTGGCTCACTCAGGGTCACTCGGAGCCCCACTGAAGCCTCGTCGATGGGCTCGGCTGAGAAGGAGGACCCTCCAAGAGCCACCTCCTCCCCATCAGGTCCCAGCCAGCGAAGGCGAGCCTCGACTTCCCCGCCAGACACCGCAAATGACACACCTGGCCCATCAGAAGAATGAAGTGGAGCCCAGAGAGGCAGATGGGGAGTAAGGGAAGAAAGTTACAGGGGCGCAGACGCAAGAGATACTGGGCGAGACAATTGGGAGCTCCCCCCTTCCCGGTCACCTTTGCAGATGAAGTAATGGGAGCTGCCCAGGTAAATGTCTCCGTGGGCCGGGACGATGGTCAGGAACTCAGACTTGCCAAGAGCTGTGGCTGCAAGACGTAAGGGGATCCTGAAGCTGGCTGGACAGCCCCTGCCCTGGGCGAGACAGACTTCCGGTCATGCAACCTCAGTCACCCCCACACCCTTCATGGGACAAGAACATCTGAGCCCACCCAAGCAGCTCCCAATCTCTCAAGGACAAGGACCCAGGAGTCCCATCCCGCCCATTCACCTCCAGCCCTTCAGGGTCCCAGACGTCCGGCTCTCTAGGTCTGAGCACTCCCTGATCCTGAGGTTCCAGACCACCCAGCCCTGGAAACCCCTAACCCCGTAGAGACCCCGCCTCTGAAACCCCCAGCCCCATGGGGACCCAGAGATGACTCATCTCAGCCTCAGACACCCTTTAACCCCTCGGGGACCCAGGAGTCCCAATCTAGTCTCTGATGGCCCCAGTTCTGCAGGGACCGAGACAATGCTACGCCCGGTCCCCACTCACCTGCCGCTGCAGCCAGAAATAGAAGCCTCGCAATAGCAGGGGTCGTAGCGACCAGGACCTCGGATGCTTGGGTTCTCTCTGGAGGGCCAGCTACGCAGACCTGGGGTCCCGGGAGGTAGGTGGAGGGCATCCATTTATCCTTTCCTCGGGCTGACAGACTAGCCTGAAAGATGGCTCCGGGCGCAGGTCTTGGGGCTGGGGTCCTAGGGCGGTGGTCACAGGGCTGAGACTAAAAATAGACCCTGAGAAGCAGTCGCCCAGGCCCCGCTCCCCAGGATTTCCGTCCTGCGACGTGAGGCCACCCTGGAGCACGAAGGATGGTGGTCAGACAGTAAGGGGGACTTCCCGGTACAGACACTGGCTCCGAACAGGACCTCACTCTCCCCTCCTCCTCCGCCCCGGACCCAGGAGGAGTTCCTGCTGTCCCCCTTCCCGATGATCGGTGAGGCACATCCCCTCCTCTTCCCGAGTCCATTTATAAGCCCCCGCCGGCCGGGAGGCGCCCAGAGGGGCGTGGAACAGCCCAGGGCCAGTGTGGCCACTGTGGAGGCGGGGGGGGGGGGGGGGGGGGGGGGGGGGGGGCCGAAATTCAACAAATGCTGAAAAAGTCCCAGCTCTGACCTTTAGCGCCAGCCAGCCAATGAGAAGGGAGAAAGGCTTAGTGGGCTGGACCACAGAGGGTTAGGGTAGTTAACTCATTAACGCGACGAAACAACCTCGACCCATTCATCGCAATTTTCCAACTTCCAGTGGAATGGGAGATCTGTTTGGATGCTATTTTGTTTTGTTTCCCGGTCTAACACAGTACCTGACACAAAGTAGGTACTTAATAAATGTTCCCACCATTTCTCACCTAGCTCCCTTGGGCCTCATTCCAAATCTCCCGAGCTCTCCATCCATCCGCAACCTCATGTAGTTTGTTTCCAGCCTTGACCTGCCCCGTCTCTGCTCCCCCATAAACATATATTTCCTATTCCTCTATTCTTCCTTCCTTCCTTCCTGCATTCTAAAATTCTTTCAGTATTCAGTGAACATGCTTATAGCCTCTCCCACCTAGAAACTCTCTTCCTTCACCAGAAACCTTGGGTTGGTCTTCACCTTGAGCCCCCTCCTCCTTTAGAGAAATATAAACTATTGGACCCAGCCCTTTCCCCCTTACACACACACACACACACACACCGGCCACCACAACTTCCTCATCTGTCCCCTCTTGGAGCACACCAGGGCATTTTGACTCTTTTCTCCTGCTCTCCCCACTGAGGGTCCTGGTCCCTTGTTCCAGACTAAGGGCCCCTTCCAGATCTCTGAGAAGAGAACTTTGGATTCTCAGCCATTGTGAAACAAGTCACTCACTCCCAGTCTCACACACAAACACTTTAATTTGTGATCCAGTAAATTGTATGTGGGGCTCCTCCCCAGCTTCTAGACTGAGAATCTAGGTAGATCTACTTGCCTATATTAAGTCTGGCTTTTGGAGGAAGAGAGTGCAGGGGGGTGAGCAATGATTTGGAGGTTAGAATAAGCCAAATTATAGAGGTTGAATGGGTATATTTTGGGTGGAGATTAGAGTGGAGATTGTTAGGAAAGATATGAGGGGTGGGATTTAGGGCTTTAATATGGGGGTTAAGTGAGAAGTATTGGGGGATATGAGGAAATGACAGAGCAAAGGGAAATGTATAGAGGGGATGACAGTGGGTGTTACATGGCTGTTATATGGGGCATTATAAGGACTTTGTGAAATGAAGATTCGAGTGAGAAGGGGTTGGAGCAAGGAGAGGATATGAGGAGATGAGGTTAGGATGAAGAGAGCCTATGACTTCAGAAAAACCTGAAAAGACTTGTATGGTCTGATGCTGGATGAAGTGAGCAGAACCAAGAGAACATTGTACACATTAACAGCCATGTTGTGTGATGACTAATATTGATAAACTTAACCCTTTCCAGCAATACAAGGATCTAAGACATCTCCAGAGGCCTCGTGATGGAAAATGCTATCCACGTGCAAAGAAAGAACTATGGAAGTTGAATTGCTATTTCTTTTTCTCTTCTCTTGAGTTTTGTTTCCTCTTTCTGATGGTTCCTTCTATTGGTTTTAATTTTTACTTACAACATCACTAATGTGAAAATATGTTTAACAAGGAATGTATATGTATAGCCTATGTCAGATTGTGCACCGTCTTGGGGAGGGTGGTGGGGAGGAAGGGAGAGAAAAATTTTAAACTCAAAAGCATATAGAAGTGATTATTGATAAATCAAAATAAATTAATATAAAAAAATTTTTAAAAAAGAAAGAAAAAAAGGGGAATAAAAAAAGGATGAGAGAGCCTAATAGAGACCCATTGGGTAGCAGGTTGTCAGCTAATCCAGGCTAGGGCTCTGGTAAGGGAGGCCTTTGGCTGGTGCAGATGCTGGTGTAGGGACCAGTCAGCTGTGTGTGTTTCCCTTCCTTGTCCCTCTCCCACAGCTACCCACCTGTTCCAATTCAGGATGGGGAAGGAGTAACTCCAGTTTGTGGATATGATGGTGGTGATGGGGCCACCACCAGAGAAGAACCATTTGTTTTACTCCATTGGCTCCTTCCTCTTCTGTCTGCCCCATGGCATTGTGGCTGTGGCCTGCTCCTTACAGGTGAGACCCCTCTTTGATTCACCTACTCCTTCCCCAGACCACCAGTCCCCACCCTCTCCACTCCATAACCTGTCCTTTTCTCCATGTCCCCCTTCCCCAGGTATTTTTTTGCCTGGGTCCTGCCCCTGACTTGGTCTCCCCTTCCATGAACACACATGCTGCCTCCCTTTACCCATTGCCTCTGCTCCCCCTAAACCAGACATTCCAACAGGCAAAGTGTTATCTAGTTTTCCATCTTGACCTTCATCCTGGGCATCATTACTTACTGCATTCGCCCTGTCTCTGGTCTATTCATTCCAGCCATGACTGAGGAAGGTGATCACCTACAGAAATCAACCATCCTCTTCCCTTTGTCTGCTCACCCCAAGTCGGTACCCCATATTACAACCAATTCTTCGAAGCCTCTTCCATTACCTCATCTGGAACAAGGAAACAGACTCCCATCCCCAATTATTTCACCTTTCACCCCTGCACAGTCACTGACCCTAACTCTCCCTCCCCAGACTCACCTGGGATATTCATGAAACACCCACCCCCAGGAACTTTTCCTTTTACTCAATAAATTTTATGCCTTTTCTCCAATTTCTGGGTAGATGATTTTGTGTTATGTGTTTATGGCTCTTTCTGGGTGTACTTGTGTGTGTGTGTGTGTGTGTGTGTGTGTGTGTGTGCGTGCTACTGTGGCCTTTTGTGCATCTATGTGAGGGTTTGAGTGAAGACTTAGAGTGAGGATTCCTTCCCTAGTGTCCTTGAACTTGCTTTAAAAAAAATTTGGCTAACTGTATTTTACTATAATTGGGTTCCTTTGTAATTCCGTGCATCTTATTTTATGCATTTAAAAACATAGTGCCCAGCTGGGGTATTATGATGGAACAGGATTGCTAGAGCAGCAAGGGCCAATCTGGCTTGAATTCAGAAGAAACACCCAGCTATAATCACCTCCAATCTGACATAAATCCCACGCAGGATCAGACTGCTGAGCCAGAGACAGAAATAAAGCCTTCCCTCTTCCTCCATTCTTTGTGAGCCTTTGTGAGCAGAGACCTCCCCAGTCCTTCCGGGAGGTCAAGGAGAGAAAAAGATTTCAAAGGGAGAGACAGTTAGCAATGATTCTCTCTCATGGGAGAAGGTGAGTTTGTGTACTGTCTTTTCCTTTTCATTCTATGTTCATTAAGGCTGCAATGAAGGCAATATTACAGTTGCAACCAAGGCCAGAATGGGAGGAAGAAGAAGTGAGCTTTAGAGGGAAGGGCCATGTCCAGGTAATTGCAACAATTTCTTTGTTTTAATACTATATTTCATCTCCCGGATTAGACCTCCGGGGAGCTCAGAATGAAGTTGCATTGGCACCTCAGACATGTCAGGGTTATTGTGGGAGAGCAGATTAGGTGTGGAGAGGCCAGAAGGGATCTATTGGGGCTTGCTAAAAAGTCAGTGGCTCCAGGGGCAGCTAGGTGGCGCAGTGGATAGAGCACCGGCCCTGGAGTCAGGAGAACCTGAGTTCAAATCTGACCTCAGACACTTGACACTTACCAGCTGCGTGACCCTAGCAAAAAAAAAAA